GATTAGAAATTTGTCGTAATTTATTCCCGAAATATTTTATCGTAAAAAAATGGTATTAAATTACAAAATTAACAAGCAAGTTAACAATGAATATTTTTGTAGTTATCTGTAATCTGTGCCAAATGATTTATGCAAATCATCATTATATTTAATTTGTCATAATCAATTAAATAAAATATATAATAGAATAATTATACTTTTGATTTATTTATTTTATATCGAATTTATTAAATTAAAATTTTTATTGACAAGAATTATTCAATGAGTATTAAAACAAATTGCAAAATTCATACTTTTCAATTGGGAACTAATTTTTTTTATTGTTGATATAATAAATGAATACAGTTGATATTTATACGGTGTAAATTTAATAATCTTGGAAAGAAAATTTCTAATTATGTTAACAAAAACATATTTAGAACATATTAAGGTAACAAAGACAACAAAGACATGAAAAACATGAAAGCAAACACTTTTGATTAACTCAAATTTTATTTGAATTCGTATGAACATAATTCACATATAGTTAAAGTACATGTTAATAGATATGTGTGGACTCTATACATAACTTTATCTATAATCCATTAATATTCAGTATGTTAAGTAGCAATTAAAACATGCATCCTATGTCAATATTATCCGCGATATACTCTCGAATTTGCTGTAGAATATAATGTTATTAGTTCGCTGATTAGAATAATTTATAAACAGAACTAAAATGATAAAGCTATATTTAATGAACCACATTTGCATTTCAGATTGAGACAATCAAAATCCAGCTGAAAATGGCGGCTGTTAATTCGGTGAGTGATTTTTTTTATAAATAGTTCTATACTTTAAATTAAATGGTACAATATATTTTTGCTATGACGATGAATTAGTTATTGCCTACTAGCTGTCTAATTAGTATTTAGGGTCTAATCCTTGGGATAAAATCGATATATCATGTTATCACTTTGTTTTTGTTAAATAAGTTAGCCAAAAATATGTTTTTGCAAGTTGATGAGCGATTTACAATATATCGACTTCTTAATCGTAACCTCCAAATGGCACAAATGTCACAAACCAGATGAAATGCGAATATTATATTATATTTGTTTTTGTGGCATAACTTTCTAAAAATTGAAATAACATTTTAATAACTTACCGTAGGGCAAAGTGATCGCAAAAATCGAAAATAAAATTTTTCATATATCTCTACGTTATAAAGTTTTCGGAACATTTTGGAAAATCTATAGAAAAATTGGATGTATGTGTGTGGGTGCGTGCGTGAGTGTTCGTATGTGTGTACGGATACAATTTTGTCGACGATTTAGAGAACACGGATTAACAGATTTTAAACATTCTATTTCTATTGATGGAGAGACGTGGTATTTAGTTTTAGCAAAGAGAGGTCCAGTCGCAAGGAAGCAAAAAAGCCAAACATGTTAAATCTGTTTTTGATAGAAGATAGTGACCGGTAGTTAATGAATGATTTAAAAAACATTGTACTTATATTGGCGAAATGGACATCTGGTAAAATTTGGAGAAACAGATTTAGCGCTTTTGGAAATACAATAAAAAAGTAAAATAAAATGCCATTTGGCAGTCAAATATTATTATCATACATAATATGCACATCAAATTATTAGATATTTTATAGAGATTGTAATGATAAGTACAAAATTTGTTTGCTTTTCTATGGAGTTCTTTATCAAGATTTATAATGTTTAATAGCAAGAACACGTCGCAGCGCTTACGCGCTTCGATATTTTTTTCTAAAAAAGTTCTATATAAAAAAAAACAAATTTTTCACGAAGGTCGTTTTTTTTAAAAAAGTTCAAAATTAATTTTTTTCATAATTTCAAAAAATTGTAATGTTTTTAAAAATTTCAAATTATGATACAGGAAGTTCTAGCAATTTGCCTTAAGGCACAATGCCTTGCTCCACTAGTAAACTTCCCGAATGAGAATGATGTTTGCATCAATTTTAAAAATTTGTCAAAGTTTGCAAAAATTAGTCACGTTTTTTGGCGTTTGTCAAAATTAGACCTCTAATCAACGTTTTCTCTAAAACTTCTGAATCGATTTCAGAAATTTGAAAGCGATTTAATGTATCTTAATGAGGATTTTTGTTTCTCAGTTTTGTGCGACGATCGGCCGTTTCTTTGTAATCCAGAAAAAAGTGTTAAAATTTTCGTTCACATTTAAGCTTATATCTCCAAATCAATTTCAAAAAAATCAAAAACTATTCGAAAGGTATCGTTTTCATTTATGTGTAATAAATCCACTCGGAATACTTTTCATCACTCATAAATTAATTTATTTATTATTGATTAAGTCGATTATTTACACATATCGGTAAGTTCATATAACTTGCCTCAAGGCAAAATACCAATACAACTAGCTTAACATAAATTTAAAAAACTGTTTTTAATGGCAGTACTTCAGTAACTAAAAGCTTTGCCTACACACGCTCGAAATTTAATTTAAATTTGCCGGCACTATTAAACAGATCATTTTAATTAATAACAATGTATAACTAGAGCAGCAGTCATTTTGTATTTATTATTAGGTTGACATATCATTATAAACAAGTTTTAATATTATATAAAAATAAAATTCAATGTAGGTTAATTTTATATAGAAATATCGCATTTATACCCTTTACATAATTGTATAAAAGTTTACGTGTGGGTAGTAGAAAATTGAGTTGATTTTAATTATTCGCATACAAATGTGTAAAAGATTGAGCCGGGGTAGCAATG